TAGCACACCTTCCTAAGGAAAGGATATGGACCAGAAGACATTGCAATTACTAAATGATATTTAGACAGACTTAAAGAAGTTCCAGATCTATACTTGTGCTCTTATTATTTTAGTTATTTTGCCTTTAATGTAAATAAACATGTGCAAACAATATTCTTGCCCTTGTGAATTTATTTGCATGTTAATTACATTGTGCCAGCTGTCTCTTTAATACCGCGTGGTTTACATACATGTTGTTGCTGATTGGGCTGACATGTTTGACACACCCACCAAACAAGAGAAAACGCATCTCAAACCCTGTTGCACACCGTTTCCAGGAAACATGTCGTTCAAACCGGAAACCGTAGCAAAACGGTGCACACCAGTTTGAGCTTGAGCTTGCCCCTGTTCTCTTTCGTTCTTGCTGTTTGATTGGGAAAAGTTTAAAGGGCGTCGAGGGGTCTTGTCTTTATGTTATCTGACTAAAAAACTATTACTTTGAACTTTTTTTATTACAGTATTTATTTTAAAAACGTAGAGTGCCTTAAAAATAATTATCACAACCCTGATAAAACAGGCTTATACTGATTTTCTCATCCTCCAATTTATAGGGTACTTATCAATCCTGTTTTTATCATCATTATAGTTTAAAAAATGAATAAATTCAGAACAGGATTATAATATAATTCTATTTTAAATAAGACAGAAATATTTTTTCTACAACAACAACAACAGTAGCCTAGTGTTTACAACAGCAAACCCACCATACCCTGTAAACTCAATAATAAGAATATATACACTGATCTAATCGGATTTCATCACCACTGATACCTGTGGAATAAAAGACAAAAAAATTACATCAATGAAGAGCTTTTATCAGTTACAGGGCTGGTAACTAGACAAATACACAAATGTCAAAATGACCTTGCTGTGATAGAATCACCATAAAAATGAAAAGCCAAATGCTCCGTGACTCCATTGTCAACACGTTTGCTAGATGTAAATGCTACACATGTGATATTATTTGACTGGAGAGTGAACAGTTTAGCTGAATTTGTGTGTTATATAGAGTTCAATTAGCAGATTTGCATAGGCTGCTTTCTCTGGCCTTGTATAAAGATTTCTTAGAATAATGTGGCTAATCATGTGAGGAGGAGGAGTTACTCAGCTGATTCTGTTAAAGGTAAAGACATGACATTGAAGTGGATGTCTGGAATTGCTCTTTGTGGACTCAAATTTTGCCCTGATTTCTTCTTTTCCGGTAAATGAAATGATCTCGGTACACTGGTTTTTGATTTATCAGAATTTATGTCAGTGAAGTAATTGTCTGATCATTGTGTTAAATCTTCAGAAAGGACATGTTTGATACTTAAGTGACTCCCTCTTGTGGCACACTGCTGCTAAAATACTCTATTTAAATCCTCTAAAAATTCTAATATAAAATAGTAACATAGTGATACATTTCTACAATTTGATGCAGTTTATATATTAATTTAATAGTTGTATTTATTGTAAAAAAAAAAAAAAAAAAGAAAAAAACAATCTTAGGAGCAAATAGTATTGTAGACCGTGTACAGTTAGAACATTTTTTGCTTTTTACATTACCACACAAAAACTAACTCATGTATTTTTTTTCATGTTGTATTTCTTCACTAAAGAAATTATGATCAATTATACCCATAAATAGTTCATTTTTCCACAGTTAGTTTGTAAAGACAAGAAGTACTTGTGTTCCAAATAAACTTTTATTTTTCACTCACTCAGTCAGGTAGTAACTCATTCATTCACATACTCAATAATCAACTTATATTCAGTTACTAATTATGCTGTCACATGCAGTTATGGCCTCCATCAGTTAATATCCAATAAGCCTTGACAGTGTCTCACATAACAGGATCAGGAATTGTTGATACAATGTGTTTCATCTGTACCCCGCTGACCACTTTGCACCTTTCTCTAAAAGGTCACCATGTTATGAAATATGGCAATTTTTAGAGGACAGACTAAAGATCACAAATCTCAAAGTTCTGTTTTGTGGTCATAAAATGACAAGAAGTTTTTCAACGTCATATGGAGGCGGTGAAGTGAAATTCTTACTCCTAAAATAGACTTTGTTCGATATCTTCAGATTAGAGAACTGTACATCCTTTAAATTTTAAGAGGACACTACTATGCATGAAGTAAAAATCATGGGTCAGGTGTGATGCACACCCAAGTTATTTAACATTTTTCAGCTCTCCATTTGTTTCAGGGAATAATAATGAAAAATGTCATAACATAACGCCTACTTCACTAGTGTGTGCG